ACTGTGATGGGCTGTGCCGAGTGGCCCGGCCTGGGGCATGTGCTTACCCTGGAAGATTAGGGATTCCTAACCAGATGGAGGGACATAGTTTCTGGAAAGGCAGGACCAACTCGGGCTCCCCCGATACAGCCCTGCCAGCCTTGGGTCTGAGCATAGACGCAATATATGAGAAGGTGATAAATGCTCTGGAAGAAATAGGTAAAGGGGTCAGCACGTCAGAGTGGGGCCAGGGAACTGGGCAGGGGAGGTCTTATTAAAAAAGTGACCTTTAAGCAAAGCCCTGGAGAGGAGGGAATGCACCAGAGAAAGAGAGCTGGGGACAGAGCGTCAGGAGAGGGAACAGCGAGTGCAAAGGCCTGACGCACAGCTGGAGTTGGGGATGGAGGGATGGGTCAAAGTTCGTGACACTCTCTTCGGAGCCCAGGCTCCTCTAAAACTCTTACGTGTGGTTTCTTGCTTGCTCGAACATGAGCCCCCAGAACAGTGGACACCCCCGTCTTTTCACCACTCTGCCCCAATGTCCTGCATGGACCTGGCACCTAGTAGGTGTTCAAGAAAGGCAAGGACAAGGGTGGAAACAGCCTCTTCCAGGCACTGTCCTCACCCTCCTCCTCTCACTGTGCCCACCTCAGATTTGGTGCCAGCTCTGAGGGGCCCCAGAAGCCCTCATTTCAGTCTGGGAAAGACGTGTGTGTGTGTAGGAAGTAGGTGTGTTACAAAGTGAGGAAGTGTGGGGTGTAGGAAACCAGCTTTTTTTTTTTTTTTTTAGTGCCCACTATCTATACCAAATATTGTCTGTACCTTAAAATCCTATTTTACTGACATGACACCCATTTTGAAAGGAACCGAGGCTCAAGGAGGTGAAGTGGTGTCTTCAAGGAGACGTAGCCCATGTCCATCCCACTCCACAGCCCCTCTGCATTCCACCTAAATCCCAGTTGGCAAAAAGAGGACCCAAATTATGGGTGGACATGCATGGTGGCACTGGGCAGGCAGGCCGTGCAGCCAGGTGGTTAGCATGCCGGATTGAGGGGGCCCAAGCAGCGTGATTGGGGAGCACAGGTTCTGGTGACTCTTGTCCCTCTGACGTGTGCCT